TCTTTTCAAAGTGATATCCCGAAGTGAACACAACTCTTGCGCAAAATTCCTCCTCCTTATCGACATACTGTAGAGCAAGGGCGAGCCTCGAGGCACGACGGGCGTCTGTCAACCTCTCTGGGCAACGCCCATTGGTGGAATATCCTGTGCAAATGAGCAATGGCATGTTTCGAAGCCCCAACATCATGTTATATAGTCTATCATGTCCGTAACCAGAAAAAATCCATGGGTAGGTTTTAGAAACAAAGATAATATATTTTTAAAATATATTTATTCATGCAAACGTGGTCGGGGGTAAGCGTTCACTTTACACCTTGGCTGACCACCGATTAATTTGCCTGTTTTTTTTTTTGTTTTTTTTTGTTTTTAGGTTAAAGTGGGGAAAGACTGGGGCTTAAGGCACAGCCAGACATGAGGAATAGAGAAGTCGCGACACATAGTCGTGGGGGAATTTAATGAGTCAAACAGAGGGGGACGACACCCCTTGTTTTTCATATTACAGAGTTTGTTGACTAACTAAGCTAACCTAGGATTTTGGATGAGGTTGCACAATGGTTACTTTGGTTGGCAATGACTAGTTTGATTTTACAATTACATGCTTATTGAATCTTATTACTGTATTACGTTATGAACACACTAGTTTTGACTTGTTAAATTGCAATCTTATATCATCTGAGGTTTAATCTAAGGTGGATCGTTGTGGCGAACATTGGTGGGTCGCGGGTGGGTTGTTGTAGTGCGGGCAGACTCCGGGGCCACCAGGCGTGGGGTCGCCCTCCGTTGATGTCTTCGCCGCGTAGGTGGTCTGGTCTGTGAGGGTCGTCCAGGAGCTTGTCCCAAACCTTCTTCCCAAGGCGACGGAACCTGACGTTGTGGGCCTCTGTTTTATTTCTCAGGTGGATGGTTTCCACTGTCTCCTGGTAGGGTGGCGCTTGGCCACTGACTGACCTCAGACACTTGTTTTGGAAGCTGTGTAGTTGTTGTAGTCTGGTCTTCCCGAGTGCGACGAGTGGTACGTGTTGGTACTCCAACACAGGCTTCACCAGCGCCTTATACAGGTGGACTTGTATCTTCTCAGTCGCCAGTTTAAAACGTTTATTTACATACTCCGAGATATCCTCCATTGCCCGAGCAGTGAGTCGCACCATCTTTGCCGTGGACCTTCCTGGGCAGGTGACGATCTGTGTTACATCGTCGGCATACATGGCGTACTCACTGCCGACGATTGGGGGTGGCAGGTCAGCCGTGTAGAGCGTGTAAAGGGTTGGTGAGAGACAAGAGCCATGCAGCACGCCGCTCAAGAGTGAGAAGTCCTCCCCACAATGTTCATGCATCTTGATTTTGGTTCTGCCATCCCTAATGATGCACAGTAGGCACGTCAGGTCTTTATGTAGCCCCAGTTGTATCATCGTATACTGCAGTCCCGCGTGCCAAAGCTTGTCAAACGCCTTTCTGACGTCCCTCAGTGCTACGTTGCACTGCAGGTGGCCAGTCATGGTGTTGATCTGCTCGTAGGCCTGGGCGATATCGGTCGAAAGTTTTCGAATTTGTTTGGAGGCTTCCCTGCTTTTAGTATGAGGCGGATAAAGGCGATTTTGAACATATTAGGGAAGTATCCGGAGGTGAGGCAAGCATTGCATATATGAGCAAACCTCTCTTATCATATTGTCGAAGAGTTGGGTCAGGATCTTCTTGAAATATGGTTTTGCACGGGTGACTTGTTTTTAAATCCGTTTATGAATGATGATACATCTGCAGGAACTATGCGCTCCGTCAGGTATCTTTCGTCCACCAGTCGAGTGAAGTCAGTCCGTGGGAGCGGTTGGAGCAGGTGCTGATGGTCCTGCAACTGACCTAAAATGTCCTCCTCAGATGCCCTGTCGAAGCCCTCGTTCTCCTGTTCACTAATGGTAAAGATCTTCCGTAACTATCGCCGATGTAAATGTTCTTGGTTTTCCTCTTCGAATATTTTCACGTTGTTTTGGTCGAGCAGGTAAAGGACCGTGCTAGAGGTGGAACCCATCAGTCGCTTGATCGCCTTCCAGAAGGCAGCAGAATCGCGGTAATTGTTGGCTGCCTCCCACAGCAAGGCGGCCCACTTTTGTTGTGCAGACGTTTGCTCTCGTGCTGGATGTCCGTCTGTAGCTCTCAGTACCGGTCTCTCAGCTCTTGCGTCCACCCGCGGATACTGGCTAGCTGTCTCACGTAATCGTACTGGACACTGAGCTGCCTCAGCTGGTGACTGGTGTGAGGATGGGGAATGGTCCTCTGGGTGGTGGTCGAGATGTTGTTGTCCATCTCCGTCTTCACATCAGTGTACCATTGTTCGACCGTGTCGTCGATGTCATTGGGGCTGGCCTCTTCCAGGTCCCTCTCTTGTTTGAAACTGAGAGACACCTTGAAGGAGTCCCAGTCTGCCCGTTTGAGGTTTCACCTGATGTTAGCGGGGTTCTTATTGGATTGGATGAGAGCGTCACGACGACTGGCATTTGGTCGCTGGTACTGATGGGTCCTGCGGTAACGTGCCTGTTCAGGACGGCCTCGTTGTTTGAGAGGATTATGTCGGGTGTTGTGGCACTGGCACGTCAGATCAATGTCGGGAAATCTGGCCCAAGGTGTTGCAGTTTTCCCCTGCTTATGTTGTCATACAGAGCCGCACCGACGTTGTCCTCATTACCGTGTCCAAGTATGGCGTGGCGCGCATTTAAGTCCCCTATAATGTATGTTGGTTTTCTGTGGCGTAGCAGCTGGTCGAGGTATTGTTCGGGTAAATAAGGTCGACTGGGAGGTAGGTACATCGTGCATATGATAACAGGTCCTCTGGTGGTCTCCACCTGCACTCCTAGAACTGAATCCTCGAAGTCTGGCAACACTCTGTGACTCAGCCGTGACCTGACGGCCACAGCGACACCATCGTTCAGCTCACCCGTTATGTTCCTCTGGTATACAGTGTAGCCAAAAATTTTCAGCTTACTTTCGTCCTTTATGCCAGTACTGTTTAACAGTTCGTTACGTCTATTAAGGGACCAGTGTAGGACATTATGTTGGACAATTTTCATCCTGCTAACGACTGCCATTTCGGAGACTGTAGCTTGGGGCGTCGCTTGAAGAGTTTGCTCGGCTTCTGCCATTTCTGGGAGGACGGGACTTCTTAGCAGAACCTTCGAACATCCGCTTGTCAGCCAATGACGGGCCCTCGAACTTCTCGTCACCCGTGTACAGGAAGGTGTTCAGGTCCTGGGCCTGCGTGACGAAGTCCTCTACTGACGCTGCAGCTTCAGGGTCTTGTTCCTGTGTGAAGTAAGTCGCCATCACCTGGTCGCAACCATTGACTGTGGTTGCAGTCCGATGGTCACTGTCGTCGCTGGGAGTACATGTCTTGGGGTCACGGAGATTTACGGTGTCGCTGGAGCTGTGACCCCAGGGGGACTGACTGGCCACGTCAGGGCTACGGTTATGTTGTCCTTGACCTAAGTCAGGGAAGTCATGCTTGAAATCGTCGTGAAGTCATTGAGTGGGTTACTGCCTTCATGATTTTTTTGGGATGGGATGCCGTCGCTTACTTCGACAGGTGCAATGTTGTTCCTGATTAGTGTCCCGTTGCGGTGTATCGAGAATGAACCTAGATGAGCCATGTTCAAGTGATGGGCATGCAGGTAAAACAAGTATATAGTGGTGGCCTTGGACTCGTCCAGCTGTGGAGAGGAGACGCTCCTGATGCTCTCCACCACTGCGTCCCTCATGGCGCCCAGTGACTCTATCACTGACTGCTTTATTGAATCATCGATGGTTCGTATCTCTGATTGCAGGACTTCCATGTCTCGCTTACATTGTTAAGTTTTTATGAGTCTGCTTGAGTTTCTTTCAGAGCGTCTTTTAGGATCTGGCTGTAAGCTACGATCGTCGACTCAGAGTGGTCTTTTTCTTGAAGTTAGAAATTTCTCTGGTTTCTTTTCGCTTGGTTATTTTCTGGAAGTGGAGTGGGGGAGGGATGCACCCAGCGAAGTTGCCTGTTAGGAATTTCGAGGCCGCCAGTCGATGTTGCTTATAAGTAGCGTGGACTGTAGAATGGGTCTTTTCTATTCCTGGTACAACGGATCTTTCCTAGTTTTGGTACAATGGGTCTTTTGTGGTCCTGGAGTACAGTGGGTCTTTCCTATTCCTGGTGTCATGGGTGTTGTCTCATTAACTACTATGGTCAATATACACGTGTCTCTTCCCTCACTAACTCGTTATCCTTCACACCAAAGGTAACCGTATGACCTGGTGGCCCTCACCTCACCTTCAGCAGGGTGAGAGACGAGGGTGGTTATATGTGTACGATAATACGATGTTAGTATATATCCTTGTAATGTTTAGGGAGAGAGGGAGGGAAGGGGGACGGTGTTTGGTGATGATAATGACTGTTTTTGAGTTTGGTCTCTATATCTATGTAGGAATAGATAATAATGATGATTATTGAATCGATGTTATATATATATATATATATATATATATATATATATATATATATATATATATATATATATATATATATATATATATATATATATATATATATATATATATATATATATATATATATATATATATATATATATATATATATATATATAGATATATATATATATATATATAGAGAGAGAGAGAGAGAGAGAGAGAGAGAGAGAGAGAGAGAGATTACCGTAACAGGACTAGAAGCTTGTTAGTGGTCGAGGCTGCAGCTTCTTAAGTGGATCTCGTTATGGTTAGGCAAGGAGGGCTGTGGTGCACCTTCCTAAGAACACGGGATCATTAAGGAATTACAAGAAAGATGTGGCGCACCTTATAATGACTGGTGAGGCGAAGGGCAGGTAATGAGGACAGAAAATGAGGGCAGGTAATGAGGACAGAAAATGAGGACATGTAATGAGGACAGGTAAAGAGAATAGGGATAAATACTCAAATTTGTAAGCATAATTAGCTCGTGCAGACAAGGTCAATGGGGGAAGATGCCTCACCTGTAGATGGGTGTAGGCACGTGGTCGCGGTACCACAGGACCAGATGGACGGAGTCGTCGGTTTTGGTGGTGATGTTGCAGGGCAGTACCGCCGTCTTCCCCGCCACCGCCACCGCCGGCGTCACGGGACCTATGGTAGAAAGAGAGACAGGTGTTAAGTATGTACACCTGGCCATGAGGGAAGGACAAACACAAACAGCTCCTTTTCATAAACACAACATATGGTTTACCGGATTATTGTCTCCCCTAATCAGGCAGACGAGAAGATAAATAAGTTAGCAAAATACTCGAATACCCGGTCCAGTAAAAGTCTTTCCTTGCAGAAGAAAAATGACCTTGGTCTCTGAGTGAGAATGTGAAGGGGTGTGATTGTGTGTGACGGAGTGTTACGGCGTGTGCAGTAACGGCAAGGGAACGAACTTGGAGCCATCAACACGACGTACGTGTATTGATTCAGTACTAATTATACCTTGAGTACGAGTTCTTAAGCCCCCTTGAGTACAATGTCATCTTACTCAAGGAATAAGACCATCGCATTAAAAAGGATTAAGACGTCGTATTGATGGGATTTAAATTTTTCTACTCAAGTGGTTTAGTCATCGTTCCAAGGGTTCAAGACATCTTACTTAAGGGGCTAATTCATAATACTAAAGGGATTAACCCATTACACACAAGGGATTAAGCCATCACATCTCAAGATATTCTAATGAATTGGTTAATTTATTTTACTAAAGAGGTTATGTTATTGTACTCAAGGGGTTGTGAGGTTGGATTCGTACTCAAAAGGTTAATAAGACTCTTGTCATAAACCCAACCAACACTAACCGCCCCCCCCCTCCCCCCACTTTCACAAGAGAATCAATTAATCTTAAATGAGGAGTAACGAGGAACTGGTCGTTACTTGCGTTAAACCACAAAAGAAAAGCATTCACCAGTTAAGTCAGGAAGTCGGACATTGGGTTTAAGTAGCGATTGGTGGAATGAAATACTGACCAATGTATAAAATAAGAGTTAGGACGGCCACAAGGAAGGGAGGACATCTGCCACAAGGAAGGGAGGACATCTGCCACAACGAAGGGAGGACATCGGCCACAACGAAGGGAGGACATCTGCCACAACGAAGGGAGGACATCTGCCACAACGAAGGGAGGACATCTGCCACAACGAAGGGAGGACATCTGCCACAACGACAACAACGAGGGAGGACATCGGTCACAAGGAAGGGGACATCTGCCACAAGGAAGGGAGGACATCTGCCACAACGAAGGGAGGACATCTGCCACAACAGAGGGGAGGACATCGACCACAACGAAGGGAGGGACATCTGCCACAACGAAGGGAGGACATCGGCCAAGGAAGGAGGACATCTGCCACAACGAAGGGAGGACAGCTGCCACAACGAAGGGAGACATCGGCCACAACGAGGGAGGACATCGGCCACAACTGCCACAGGAAGGGAGGACATCTGCCACAAGGAAGGGAGGAGGACATCGCCACATTCGCCACAACGAAGGGAGGACATCTGCCACAACAGAAGGGAGGACATCTGCCACAACGAAGGGAGGACATCGGCCACAACGAAGGGAGGACATCTGCCACAACGAAGGGAGGACATCGGCCACAACGAAGGGAGGACATCGGCCACAACGAAGGGAGGACATCTGCCACACGAAGGAGGACATCTGCCACAACAGAAGGGAGGACATCGACCACAACGAAGGGAGGACATCTGCCACAACGAAGGAGGACATCGGCCACAACGAAGGAGGACATCACAACGAAGGGAGGACATCACCACAACGAAGGGAGGACATCTGCCACAACGAAGGGAGGACATCGACCACAACGAAGGGAGGACATCTGCCACAACGAAGGAGGACACAGGCCACAACGAAGGGAGGACATCTGCCACAACGAAGGGAGGACATACATCGGCCACAACAGACATACAACGAAGGGAGGACATCGGCCACAACGAAGGGAGGACATCGACAACAGCGAAGGGAGGACATCGGCCACAACAGAAGGGGGACATCGGCCACATCGGCCACAACGAAGGGGACATCGGCCACAACGAAGGGAGGACATCAGCCACAACAGAAGGGAGGACATCGGGAGGACATCTGCCACAACGAAGGAGGACATCGGCCACAACAGAAGGGAGGACATCGGCCACAACGAAGGAGGGAGGGACATCGGCCACAACAGGGAGGACATCGGCCACAACGAAGGAGGACATCTGCCACAACGAAGGGAGGACATCGGCCACAACAGAAGGGAGGACATCGGACAACAGAAGGAGGACATCGCCACAACGAAGGGAGGACATCGACCACAAGAAGGAGGACATCTGCCACAAGGGAAGGGAGGACATCTGCCACAACAGAAGGGAGGACATCTGCCAGGGGACTGCCACAACGAAGGGGAGGACATCTGCCACAACGAAGGGAGGACATCTGCCACAACAAGAGGACATCAGACAACAGAAGGAGGACATCGGCCACAACGAAGGGAGGACATCGGCCACAACGAAGGGGACATCGGCCACAACAAGGGAGGACATCTGCCACAACGAAGGAGGACATCTGCCACAACGAAGGGAGGACATCGGCCACAAGAAGGGGACATCGGCCACAACGAAGGGAGGACATCGGCCACAACGAAGGGAGGACATCAGCCACAACGAAGGGAGGACATCGGCCACAACGAAGGGAGGACATCGGCCACAAGAAGGGAGGACATCTGCCACAACGAAGGGGAGGACATCTGCCACAACGAAGGAGGACAGCTCAGAAGGGAGGACATCGGCCACAACGAAGGAGGACATACAACGAAGGGGCCACAACGAAGGAGGAGTGACATCTGCCACAACGAAGGGAGGGGGAGGAGACATCAGCAACGAAGGGAGGACATCGGCAAGGAGGACAACAACAGAAGGAGCATCACAACGGGGAACATCACAACGAAGGGAGGACATCTGCCACAACGAAGGGAGGACATCGGCCACAACGAAGGGAGGACATCGGCCACAACGAAGGAGGACACATCTGCCACAACGCATCACAACGAAGGAGGACATCTGCCACAACGAAGGGAGGACATCTGCCACAACGAAGGGAGGACATCTGCCACATGCCACAACGCATCACAACGAAGGGAGGACATCGGCCACAACGAAGGGAGGACACAACGAAGGAGGACATCGGCCACAACGAAGGGAGGACAGCTGCCACAACGAAGGGGAGGACATCAGGCCACAACGAAGGGAGGACATCGGCCACAACGAAGGGAGGACATCACCAACAGAAGGAGGACATCACAACGAAGGGAGGACAACGAAGGGGAGGACAACGAAGGGAGGACAGCTGCCACAACGAAGGGAGGACACATCTGCCACAACAGGAAGGGAGGACATCTGCCACAACGAAGGGAGGACATCGGCCACAACGAAGGAGGACATCGGCCACAACAGAAGGGAGGACAGGCCACAACAAAGCAGCTGCCACAACGAAGGGACATCGGCCACAACGAAGGGAGGACATCGGCCACAACAGAGGACATCGGCCACAATCGACAACGGGAGGACAGCTGCCACAACGAAGGGAGGACATCTGCCACAACGAAGGGAGGACATCAGCCACATCCACAACGAAGGGAGGACATCTGCCACAACGAAGGGAGGACATCTGGAAGGGAGGACATCACAACGAAGGGAGGACATCTGCCACAACGAAGGGAGTGACAGCTGGAAGGGGAGGACATCAGCCACAACGAAGGAGGACATCGGCCACAACGAAGGGAGACCACATCGGCCACAACGAAGGGAGGACATGCATCTGCCACAACGAAGGGAGGACATCTGCCACAACGAAAGGGAGGACATCGGCCACAACGAAGGGAGGACATCGGCCACAACGAAGGGAGCATTGAAGGGAGGACAGCTGCCACAACGAAGGGAGTGACAACAACGAAGGGAGGACAGCCACAACAGAAGGGAGGACATGCCACAACGAAGGAGGACATCGGCCACAACCTGGAAGGAGGACAGCTGCCACAACGAGGAGGACAGCTGCCACAACGAAGGAGGACAGCTGCCACAACGCAGCTGACAACAACGAAGGGGAGGACAGCTGCCACAACGAAGGAGGACAGCTTCAATGCCACTGACAGAATCGCCACAACGAAGGGAGGACAGCTGCCACAACGATCGGCCACAACGAAGGGAGGACATCTGCCACAACGAGGGGAGGACATCGGCCACAACGAAGGGAGGACATCGGCCACAACGAAGGGAGGACATCGGCCACAACGAAGGGAGGACATCGGCCACAACGAAGGGAGGACATCTGCCACACGAAGGGAGGACAGCTGCCACAACGAAGGAGGAGCACACACAAGAAGGAGGACATCGGCCACAACGAAGGGAGGACAGCTGCCAACGAAGGAGGACATCGCCACAACGAAGGGAGGACAGCTGCCACAACGAAGGGAGGACATCACACAACGAAGGGAGGACATCGGCCACAACGAAGGAGGACATCTGCCACAACGAAGGGAGGACATCAGTACAACGAAGGGAGGACAGCTGCCACAACGAAGGGAGGACATCGGCCACAACGAAGGGAGGACAGCTGCCACAACGAAGGGAGGACAGCTGCCACAACGAAGGAGGACATCTGCCACAACGAAGGGAGGACATCTGCCACAACGAAGGGAGGACAGCTGCCACAACGAAGGGAGGACATCGGCCACAACGAAGGGAGGACATCGGCCACAACGAAGGGAGGACATCGGCCACAACAAAGGGAGGACAGCTGCCACAACGAAGGGAGGACATCGGCCACAACGAAGGGAGGACATCAGCCACAACGAAGGAGGACATCGGCCACAACGAAGGGAGGACATCGGCCACAACGAAGGGAGGACAGCTGCCACAACGAAGGGAGGACATCTGCCACAACGAAGGGAGGACATCGGCCACAACGAAGGGAGGACAGCTGCCACAACGAAGGGAGGACATCTGCCAACGAAGGGAGGACATCTGCCAACGAAGGGAGGACATCACACAACGAAGGGAGGACATCTGCCACAACGAAGGGAGGACAGCTGCCACAACGAAGGAGGACATCG